AATTAAATTTGCCGTTGGCTTTTAAATGTGCGTAGTACATTCACAGGCAGGCCCTGGGCCCTGGTTGATATCCGAAGTTGGGCAAGATCAAGAATACAACTTAAATTGAAAGCAGTGTTCGTGTCTAAGCGATAGTGTATGCGGCTTGTAAGCACGGTCGTGAACTAGAGTTCACTAGCTGCAAGCATGAGCACAGAACATGATCAGATCAACCATCCATGGGTATGATCAATCATGATCTGCAGAAAGATTTCTCTTAGCCCGCAAGTAAAATTAGCTAATCTAGCATCCATCTGTTTTAGTCAGCAACGATCTCATCGTGATGGCGGCTACGAATGCCCTCATATTGCTCGTAAACTTGATTCAAATCACATTTTTAAATTGTACTTTTTCAACTGATTTCGCCTAACTGTGCTTTAAATTTCACAAATTGAATCAACGGCGCAAAAAATTCAGCCTCGCCTAACTTTTCAGCAGTCATTAGATTCAGCACATACCAATTGCTAAACGTTTAAATTGAATTTATTCAAGCATCCGAAGAAGAAAACCTTTTGCACGAGGTGTTTTGTGTCCTATCTATAGGCCATAATTAGATTTCAGCTTCTTAGCGCTAATTTTTTCACTCACATGAATAAAATTCAACGAATTTGCTGGCTGATTGCAAATTCAATAACAGAGGGAGAGGGCAAGGAATGTTTACTTACGTGTTAGTCAAGCGATAATTTGAGGATTTGAAAAAAATTAAACGTTCTCGATTGGTTTAATTTGTTTGTTAAGTTTTTTTGAAAATTGAGACGAGATATCAACGAACGCCGAGCCGATAACCAATTGAATGAAAGCGTGAAAGTCAAGGTGAAATGACTACCGATACAAATGGACCAAAAATTAACCGTTGAATCGTCCTTTGAGTTTCACACACGAGCCAGGTTCAGTATCGGTGTTCGGGCAGATCGAGATTTTAGCACCAACGAAATTCGGATTCATTCCCGCACGGGTTTCGGCGCATCTCTCCGCATATACCGGTATCCTCATACCGCCCTCAACAAATACGATTAAGATTTGAACAAGCCGGCTGAAGATCAGTTTATACCGTAGAATTTCAACTACAAAAAGCGATCGAAAAAAAATCCGTCATATTAATTTTATGTGCTCTTGCTAGACGTTGCAAAAGGCCTTGAATTGCTACTAGGCTTGAATCTATCGTTGCTTTAGTTCCAATTCAAATGGGAGACTTAATCTTGCAACTGGAGATTAAACGATAACAGTAGAGAGCCGATATTAGATCCAACACCAGGCTTAAGTTGCAGATCTCCCTGAAACCTTGCCACGAAACTCGATGCATATTCAAGTGAGTTATTTGAATATAGCCCTCAAGAATAGCTAACTTATTAACTTACACATAAAGTAAGAGTGATTTGAAACGAGATAGAGCGCTCACCTTCCTGAGAACAGCGTATAAATCCGTGATGTTTGCAGGTGTTGGAGGATCCAGTTCGAATATCCGATGATTCGACGGCTCACGAGTGTACGCCAAGCATGAATAGCATGCTACTTGACCTTTGCTTCGACTCTTGAAATGACTGGGAATGAATGTATGAACTTGATGTGCATCACAACCTTCTAACGCTGAAATTTTAACATTTGGCTATCATTTGCAGTTGGTTGGCTTCAGTGATAGCCTTGAAATGTAGGGGGCTAGAAGGAGTATCTCACAAAAAAATTGCCGAAAAAGGTCGAGTGCTTGATTTTAGAGGTGCTCTGAAAATTAGAGATATTCTGATTAAGATGGGCTGGCTTGAGTCAGTCTTGAAAGGAAAAGCAGCCGAACTGAACACAAGACGGTCCTGTGGTTAAATTTTTCGCTTAAAACTGCGTGATACTAACTAGGATTCGAAAATCAATCTTAACATAAGATTTAGGAACAACCAATTCAGCAACAGTGACAGATTGAACAATGGTCACTAAATCCATCAAATCAGCAATGATCAGCGATGATAAATAATGATCAAACAGTGATCAAAAATTGATAAATCAATAGCGATCAAGCAGCAAACAACAACTCACCATAGTAAAACAGTATAGCAAGTGTTGTCGTGATCTGTATCAGCTGATCAGTCAACAAGTCCGCTGATAATATCATCAATAATCGATTGCAACATTAATTGTGATCAAGAGAAGTTCAGTTCAATCGATCGCATTCTGCCTCATATCCACAATATCCTTTTACTGCTCTTATAAATTAGCATTCAAATGACTACTACCAGTCACGAATATCATCTCGGTTACAAATGGATACCCTGAATTGTTTGAATTACTAAAATGACAGACCCCCTTCTTTAATTTCAACACATGATCACATACGAGTTACAATGTTACAATCAAAGTTTACTGCTATTAAATTTGCAGTATCATTCCATCCATCAAATGATATCACTCTTGTTTGATAGAAAATAAACGCAAAACTTTCTCGACAGCATTCAATTGCGTAAACGCAACAGATCACTCATAAGATCACCTAAAAGCACATGATCATTCCTAAGCCACTAATAATATCGCTTTCACTCTAATCCAGTGCTTATGACTTACGACTTCACCTAATCCAACACTTAAGTAAAGTCCACAGATTATCTGTTTTTTTTAATTAGATCAAATTAAGATCAAAAGATCAATATTAAGATCAATATTGCCAAGATCAAATTAACATAGGAATAAGAATTGACAGCCGCCTATAAACATCGACGAGACTGCGAATAACTTCAAGAGTTTAACATCATAATTAATTAAAGTAAATGAGTCAAATCACTGGAATATGAATGTTTGTGGTTGTTCATTAAACATTCATGGAGTACCTCAAGCAATCAACGACAAAGGCGATGACAGCAACATTTAGTTCCTTTTAGAATTAGAAGACGAACGACCAAATAAAGGCAGGCCTTAGGCAATAGGATAATCTAATGTTATGTGCATGCATTCTCGCATGCCCAGCCAGCTTACCCTATAATTAGTTTGATTCATATTTAGTTTGACTCAAAAAAAGCCCAATTTCGACTGAGTTGAACGCTAATTTTAAGAGCGAGAACACAAGCAAGCGAGACTAGCAGCTGGAATGTGGCACTCTCGACGAGAATGGTCGTTTCTGGAGCGAGTGTAGACGGTCGAGAACGATCTGGAGTCGTCAAAGCCAGTGAAATGACAGATGAAGATTTGAAGAAAGCCTTTGTCGACTGACTGATGTGATGATGATGATCGAAAGTGCAAAAGCCCAAGAGCTCAACAGCAACAGCAGCAGCTGAACGAATTAATTTTTGCAAAAACTAAAACACTGACATCCATCATCATCATCATCATCTTATCCCACACACTAATCCATCCACATTTCTATCGGAAAATTTCCATCCAATTCGTTGTTTTACTGGTAATTGCTGTTGTTGTTGTTGTTCAAGTGCGGCGGAATTATTTTGCTGAAGTGCTCTCGACAGCTTACTGCGGATAGCGTTTTCTTGCTGCTGCTGCTGTTGATTACTTAGAGCGCACATCGATTGCTCATTTTCGCTTTTTTTTGAAAACAATTTGAAGAATTTTCACAGCTCTTACTCTTCGTCACACCCGCTTCGACACCCGCTCTATTCGCCTGAAGTCGTCGTTTGTGCCTCGAACACGCACACTAATATTATTGTTAGTGCTGCTGCTCCTTGTTCATTTCGTTTCAAGACCGGCCGTTTCAAGGCCAATTCAGTACACTTGCTTGGTACCACTAGAAAGAGTTTGAACA